TTTCTTCCCACACACACCAAGGAAAATGGTCTATGGAAGTGAGTGCACAGGTTGTCTTGAATATCTTTCGGGCACTACAAGCATTTAAAGTAGCTGATCAAGTCAGCAATGGACTCAGTATCAGAAGAGAACTAGACATCCTGTTTATCTTGCTCCAGCTTCTTTTTTTTAGGGTACCTAGATAGATCTCTTACTATGCTATACAGATTTTGCGGATGTGGTCACTTCCCCTGAAAGACTCCGCTGAATAGGAAAATTTGTAATTGAACATAGAGTCTCCCTCACCGTAGTCTGGCACACGGACTGGCACTGTTGGTTGCACTGCATGTCGCAGTTCTGAGCGCCTTGCTGCTGACATTGCTGATGGCATTGATTTTGGCATTCGTTGCATTGGTTACTTTCGGCGTACTGAAACGGTTTCGACCGATTTACCACGATAGATTCACTATGTTTCTGCAAATGTATGCACCCATGGTGCATTGGGATATGGGTCCAGTGACCAAGGGAAATCAGAAACTGTTCGTTGGCGTTCCTTAGACTTAAGCCATTTTGTCTCAACAAAGGTGCTATACTTACTGGTTGGTAAACCTGCGGTTGTTGTCCACAAGCCGATTGGCAGTTCTGCTGGCAGATTTGTTGGCACTGTTGCTGAGGCTGCCCAGCCGCTTGACATTCGTTCATACATGCGTTCTGGCACTGTTGGCACGGATTTTCTTCACGGTATGGCTGATACATTTGCTGGAAACATTTTTTATCAAACATGGGAAAATCGCCAGCGATCCGCTGGTTGGGCAATAAGCAATCCCGATTCTGGAGCAGATAGTCTCTTGACAAACTTGTAACATGTAAGATACAGTCATGACGCTGATGTCACTCTAGCGTGCTTCCGATGTAAGTCACTTTGTACAGCCTACTCAAGTGGGATACTTCGGACATGCACAAGAGAGTGGTGGTTTGCACGACTTCCGCGTTTACCTGATGACCAAAAGAATAGGCAGGAAGTTACAAAAACCGTTTCTTCTTCTACGGCTCCTGTCCACCGTATCAGCAGGATGGGCACACCAATGTACAGGGGAGGGGGCAAAAAAAAGACACCCGAGTCACATATCAGCAAAGTTTTCGCAGCCCAGACAGAGGACGTGGATACGAGTACCAGGGCGGAAGATACCCAAGATGTTCCTCGATAAGCAGGAGCTGGCTCTCGCCCATCACCTTCATGTACACCAAAATATGAAGTCATCTCCAATCGCAGCCTAAGTGGAGAAGGCCTATGGAGTTCACGTCAGCTCCGAGCAGCTGCAAAACTTCTTGTATCGAGTCACCCATGGACAACTACCTGCGGGGCAGCAGCTCTTGATCTAAAGATCGTCAACATCAAGCAGCTCCGACAACGTCGCTACGCTCCAGGATCTCATCCTCACCGCAGTCGTCAAGGGTGGGATGATGATATGAAACGGAAGTTCCTGGAATGGAGAACCATTATTTCCTTCGATGACCCCTGGACTGAAAGTGAACGCTGTTTTGTACATCAATCAAGTCGAGGAGAATCCTGAGGGCAGCTCCGACAACGTCGCTGATCAGTGATCCTGCCCTCATGTCGTCGCCTGCACCATCTTGGAAACTTCGTACTGCTACAGGATTGGTGCCAGCACGTGGAATCGAGGGCTTGTGAAAAAATCTCGCTTACTTGGAATCGAAGGGCGCTGTACGAGAAGACGGAATATCCAAGTGTGTCACCTGACCTAAACCCCCTCGATTACCGGGTCCGAGCGGAGCTCAACAGGGTGTCTACAGTGGCGGAGAAATCAACGATCTCGCTGAACTCAGGTACCGAATCACGGTCGCGTGGCAGAATCTCTCGATGGCGCTCGTCCAGAAGGCTGTGGCGGAGCATCATGATAGTATACAATATGCTGTTGAATATGGTGGTGGAAATGTCCCATCAGAATTTAATTAAGTGTAACTTATAGCGCCCTGAAAGTCAAGGAAGAAAAGTGACTTTTTTGCCCTCCGTATAGTTGTGAGCTTTTCTCTACCCATTCCGCTATCGCAGATGCTAATATACCTGATATGCTTGGGGCCCATTTTTCACATTATTTCGCCGCTAAGCTCCAGGAAATCGAAGGTGGTATAGTGGCAAGTGGCATATTTACCACTCGCCAGGTGAGGTCAAATCCTAGACCTCCCACCAAAGTCAAGCAAACCCTCTACCTTCCGAGGAAGGTAAATTGGTAGCGTATTTGCCTGGGAGTATAAGGACACTAATTCGTGCACAGGCTGCCCCCCCCCTCTCCATCAGGTGACTGTATAGGCCACATAGCATTCAACAAGC